CCCCCCTCCGCTGGGGCTCAGCGCAGCCAGGCTGCCTCCCGGGACATGCCGCCCGCCCTCCGCTGCCCTCCACCGTGTGTCCAGGGGCTGCCCAATCAGAGAGCTGTCCTGGTTTGAAGAAAGAAATCTTTATTAATAATCTTAATAATAATAATCCTGTGGATCTGAATGGTCACACCTGGGAAGCATACAGAATGGTAAGAAAGAAGCCGGGCCTGGCTGAGGCCGGGGCGGGCCGGGCGCAGCGGGGGAGGGCCAGCGGGGGGCTCTGTACACGGAGTAGAAAAGGAGGCGCTCAGAGCGGGGGCGGATACAAAGTGAGGTGTGGTCCTGCCCGTCCTGTTTTGAGAGGGGGGAGCCATGGTGGGAGCCTGGGTTTTGTGGGGGTTTTTTGCTATTTTTTGCTGTTGCCCCGACTCCAGCTATCTGCCTGGCCTGGGGCTTTATCCTGTGACCTGCCATCTGCGCCCCCTCCCCGCCCAAGGTCTTCCTCCTGCCCCCGCCCCCCCCCATCCCTGTGCTGGCCTGGCCGTCTCGCCCCATAGCACTGTGACCCCAGCCTTGCTGTGCAGCCAGGCGCCGGCCCATCCCTCGACCCCTCGCAGGCCTGGCCTCGGCCGGTCCCATGAGGCCAGCTGTCCCCCCCCAGACCAGGCACAGAGACGCCTCCAGACAGGAAACCAGAAACAGCCAGTGGGAGCACGTCCGTGGCCTCCAGGCCCCCACAGCCCCACATTCTCAGGTGCAGGAGTCAGTCCTGGCTGGCTGGCTGGCCCGGGAGCCCCGTCCTGTGGAGGGAGGGGTCCCTGGGTGCCCCCTAGTTCTGGAACCACGTCAGCCCTTGGTGTGGGGGTCGGCCCCCAGGGCTGCTGGTGGGACAGCCCCAGTGGCCTGCAAACGCCTCCCCCAGGTTTGCAGGACACGGGCGTTGGTGGCATGGCAGGAGGGAGAGCTGGGCCCAGAGCAAGACACAGGGTGATTGGGCGTGGCCGGAGCCAGAGCCGGGGAATGGAAAGCTGCCCCCTCCCTGTGCCCGCGGCCCAGCCGGCCCCTCCACTGGCACAGTTGGCACCAAAGATCAG